GCGAAGATGTTAAAGCGGGCTAATTTTTTTTAAATTTACACACAATGATTTAATTTTCTTTCTGGACATTTATTTCTATCCAATCTCTATATCAAAATGTCTACCTTTATCCAAAGTGTCCATTATTTAGATAAGAACTAACTAACAGTGTTTTCCATTAAGTTCCCAGTTGTTATCACTCAGCGCCATCTGTCGATACAATTTGCAATCACATACATCACTTGGTTCGTTCGTGTTTGAAAAACTTGGTTTTACTTTTGTCAATGAACACATCGCATGAGTATACTCAAAGTTAATTAGTAAACAAGACTTGATATATTCGATAATCCAATACTTCATATAACCTGACCATAAACACAAGAACTCTCACAGAATTGCAGAAAAATATGGAAATCATTAACGCATGTTAGAATAGTAATCATATCAATATTATAAATGCGAAAGTTTGGATGGATGTTTGTTAGAGTTTGTAGCCTAAACGGCTTAACGGATTTCGATGAAATTTGGTATAGATGTAGAGAATAGTCTGGAAGAACACATAGGCTACTCACTTTTGTTTTTGTTTTTTTTTTTAATTTCACGCAGACGTATCCGCGGGCAAAAGATAGTATAAAAATAAAACCGATTGAAGAATACATGTAACAATTTTAAAATAAGATTCGATCATAACAAAATACGTCAGAAAACAGATTTATCCGTTTCATCTATTTCTTAGTATATTACAAAAAGGAATCGAATATCCATTCTTATTACGATGTCATCGAAAGTGACATGAAACGATGGAACAGTCAGACATGGGGTAGGGACGTGATTTAAATATTATTATAGAGATTGAAATATAAGCAATATAAACCAGGAAATCGAAAACTTAGAAACTATCTTTATATAATTTTAAAAGCGCAGTGAATACTGGTGTGTTCTGGAGATCGCGGGACACTCAAATTGCACTCGAGTATAGTCACTTGGAGGATTTTAGCAAGACAAGTATTACTAAATCTTGAACCCCAAACGACTAGTATCAAAGTTATTATTTTCAAACAACCGGTAATATTAATTACCGTCTAAGTTGCCTGGAAAACAATGCTTATTTTCGATATCTAATTTAATAAAAAAAATTACAGTTAAGTTACAATAACTTACATTGTCGTGTTAAAACATCGTAAATCTTAAAAGCTACGCTTGTAACGCGGAAGTAAGTTCCTCGTAAATTCTTTCGATCAACACCATACATGCTAGGTTTGAAAAAACTTCATTTAGTTACTACTCGTAAGTAGTAACTAAATGAAGTTTTTACGTATAAAAATAATATAAAACGAAAACCAATTTAAACTTACGTATTATGCAAAAATATAAACATGTTTCACATACGTTTTTATTTAACAGTATGTATTTTAAAAGTTTTTTACTGCTAGTTCCCTCTGATCATCGGCTAACGACGCCTATACAATATAGGTATTTAAAACTGCAAAGTATTAAACTATAATATGCTATTGTCCCCATTTCCAATATGCGTAATCGCAAATAAGCTATTTATCATTGCAGACGGGTTACCGTGGTACTCTACTACAGTGTTAATATTGCTGTCTCTGTTTTCTCAATGAGAATGCAAGGGATGACAATATATAGCAGTGGTGTACTATTGTATACTGGTTTAATATTTTCAGCAGCTTGCGGCCGCTAATTTAATTTCAATTTGGTATTATACGTTAGGTAGATTTTATAGTTAATAATATTAATTAATTTTATATTGAAGAATAAGTGTTACTAGAAAATATATTACAAAGTTTCCGTTTCTACATATTGAACAACCAGATTTTGTCATACAAAAACTACTGTTTGTATTTTAAATATTGTTATCTATAAATGGACATAGGTTGGAAACACACTTGACTAAACTATCGCATAACCGTTGTGCGCTTGTCGATTGTTTCGCAGTCAATTCAACTGTTTAGTGACACAACTAAAAATCGAGTAGTGTGCTCACATCTATATAAGCTCATAGAAATCACAGCGAGACTAAACGGTTGTGCGACAGTTTAGTCAAAGGTGCACACTTACGCGTCTGTTGAAGTTCCTGACAATTAATTCTATCAATATTATTACTTCAGAAACTCTGCGTATTTTGTTAACGAAAACATACTTTTTTTATAACATAAAGTGGCAAACGAACAAGTGGCTACTTGGAAACTCTGAAAAGTCGAAGCGACCGTTTGACAGAAGAAGTGACACACATAAACAGGATATTTCCCGGTCCTAAGCGTCTCCTTCACTGACAAATCCACTTTTTCTTTCCATCCTTTCCTCCTAAGAAAAGATTGAAAAAGAAATTTATTACGTATTTACTTCACAATAATACAGGAAATAACAATATAAGGAGTAATATAATAGCCTACTATTGTGGTACTAATGAGGGATACAGCCACAATACATCAGCGCCCCCTGCCAGCAAATAGCCGACATCACTCATACTCGACCCCCGAAGTTGGTTGTTAACGATGTCATTAGTATAATAGATAACGCAATAACTACCATTTACATAAGAAAATCTGGCTAACTTAACACGTTCACTGCCACTGAAAATAGATATAACTAGCTGTTGCTCGCGACATCGTCCGCGTGACATTAAAATTTAACTTATGTCACTCAGTGTGTAAGAATTTTCAAAATCGGCGCAGTATTTTTGAGTTATTTATACATACAAAAATACAAATTTTTCCTCTTTATAATATTAAGTTAAATTGTATTTTATTTCAGACATATAAAAAGAAAAAATAAGCGGAACAAAATAAGCTACAACTCATCGTTAATGTTTCCCCATGGAAAAGTTTTTCCATAGGCGTATGCAAAATGTTTTCAGAGTCCCGACATAAAATGTTGCATTAAATTTTCTAAACGACGGATTAACATCGTAAAGAAAGGAACTTTCTTTTCCATCTTGTCTATACAAGGATGATTACCATATTCTTTCCTTAATTTCGCAAAATAAAGTTGATGCAAATTTTGGTTTTAAATTTTGAATTTAACTCTACCTATAATAACCTCTTGAAGTTTATCAGTCAAATTTAAATGTTTTATTCCACTTTCAAGTTGATTTTGAAGCAACGACCTAAATATCTTGAATAAATACATAGAAATTGCATGCATAATGCATTTTCCACGAACCCCGCGCATGGATAAGAGTTGAAAAAGTCACGTCAATAAGTATTTGAAATAACCATCATCATCACCCTGGACATAGAACAACAGCATAGGAAAAGTGGATTTGACGGTGGAAGAGACGCATAGGAAGGGGAAATGTCCTCTTTATGAGCGTCTCCTCCTCCGTCAATTAAGGGTAGGCAACGCATCTGCAATTGCAGATGTTTATGTGCAGCGGTCGCTTTCCATTTCGGTGGATTCAGGTGGCCGCTTGCTCGTTTGCCGCCTTATATTATAAAAAAACCCAATGCATTCCACAAAATGCGATCCTCCTTTCACATCTAAAGGGGATACTTATCAATTAATTTTATTAATTACGCAATCTAAAAAACAACAAGCGTCTTAAAAAATTGCAAAAAGCAACCACAAAAAATGACTAATCGACTTTTCCGTTTGAAAATTAAACTGGAATCAACCATCTTGGTATTCAAATTAAATGAATTTGTTTAAAAAAGAACAATTAAAGAGCGACTTCTGTTTCTGATTAGAAGAATTAATTAACATTTTAAACGGCTATTGTTTGACTAATGGAATTTTAAATTGAATTCATTTAAAATTATCATTATCATTGTTTGTTGAATAATTTCGTCTTATTAAGACTGAAGTATAAAAAGGAGAGTTGCAGTAAAACGCTATAAAAACTCCAAGTATTTTGCACAAATAATTAGCTAATTACGCAGGCGATAATAGCTAGTAGTAGTTTTTTAGTATAACTGGTACTCTGGATGAATCTTTTGTCATCATGACTGCAATACATACAAGAAAAGCGCCAGTGGCGTCCCTTTATGTCGCCGTGACGCCCATTTATGCCGGGCGAAGATTGCCCCACAACGCTCAACCCTAAAGCCTATACTACCACTTTATGAACACTATATTTTTGTCGAAAATATCGCGATTTACTTATAGTATGATTGATATTTTAAAACTTCAAGTTACAATATTTTATACCATATGTTTTTCGTTTCTGCTTGATATAATTCCTTTAAATTTTGTAAATGGTTATTTTATCAATATTTATTTAAAACCTAGTCTAGACTATAGATCTTAAATGTATTGTTACAAGTATATAGGTAATAGTCATTAAAATTATAACTATTTTTCGTAATAAAATGATTTTTCCACAAAGATTATGTTGTATTTTCCTTTGTATAAGTAGTGATAAAAGCAATGCAATAAGTAAATCTATTATTGAGAGTGTATTTCAAGTTTTCGTAGTGTAGCGGTTATCACGTGTGCTTCACACGCACAAGGTCCCCGGTTCGATCCCGGGCGGAAACATCACTTTTTTTTCTAAATTCTAATATTTTTTTAATTAAGGCAGAATAATGTTATCAAAATTTTTTTTTAGTTTTGTTAGTAATTGTTTTTATTATAAAAAGAAGGTATTGGTAATAAAACATATTATGAAAAAAAAATATTTTTAATGGCAAACTTAACATTCAATATTATATACACTATTATAATACAAAAACATACAAAAAAGTCTTTATTTTTTAAATAGAAAGATGATTTTTATCAACACTTAGTGCGACAGAGACAGCACTACAAATCGCAATTGTCTCTTTCTGAAGCTCATAGTTTCTATGTAAATTATTATTGTAGGTTATTTAATTTTACATAACAGAAAATATCACTTTGTACAATCAGGACAATTCGCGGTGTTTCAATTACAGAAAAGTGTATTTTTGAATAAATTACTTAGATTAATTTAGACTGTAAGTCTAATAAGGAACTAAGGAGGAAGGGTCTAATAAGGAACTATGTGTTAAATAAATAAATAAATAAAGTGGTATACTGCCAGATTTCCTGATAGTACTAAATTGTAACCGAATTTATTAATTTTATTGTTTTTCAAATTTCAAATTAACAAATACAATTTTATTCATTTTTTTACATCTTACAAAAGCACAAGTTCATGGTTTAACGGATTGCATTCGCTAAATTGGCGAAATTGTTAGTGTATCTCGGGTGTGACAGTGAGCGTCATCTTCTTATGTCCGCGGACCACCTCCAGCTGCAGCCGGCCCGAGGTGCTCTCCAGCAACGAGTAGATGTCTGTCGCACTGCAAAACATATCTTACTAGTATTATAAATGCGAAAGTTTGGATGGATGGATGTTGAAGTTTGTAGCCTAGACTGCTGAACGGATTTTGATGAAATTTGGTATAGATGTCTGGAAGAATACTTAGGCTGTTTAGTTTTGTTTATTTTAATTCCACGCGGACGGATTCGCGAGCGAAAGGCTAGTATTAAATATATGAACAACTAGCTGCTGCCCGTGAATTCGTCCACGTGATATTTACAAATATAGCCTATGTTAGCCGATAAAGCTATGTAATGGTGAGATATTTTTAAAATTGTCCCAGTAGTTTTTGAGTTATATCAGTAGTCTGTTTACAATTTTACAAATCTTACTAATATTATAAATAAAAGTTTAGATGGATGTTTGTTGGGATTTGTAGCCTAAACTGCTGAACGGATCTTGGTGATTATACATGTAGAGGGTAGTCTAGAACACATAAGCTACTTAGTTTTGTTTTTTTTTTTTTAATTCTCCGGACGGAGTCATAGGCGAATGCTAGTATTGTTTTTATTAGACAGTTTTGTAAACTTTTCTTAAAATTTTCAAAATATCCAATCTTAAAAACATTAATTTACTTTCATATTATTCAAAATTTACCTGTAAACTGGTTTCCCGTTGATATTCGTTATGATATCTCCAGGTTGTAGACCGCCACTGTAAAAAATCATTTATAATTAATTAAGTAGCATAGTTTTATAATAAATCACGAGGAATTTAATTATGTTTGTACGTAACTTTAGTATAAAAGAATTCAATTGAAATATCGCAATCAAGCTCTGATGAGAATTCATTATTATCTCCTCATCCTACTCCCGTAGGGCGCAACAGGTTTTTGTCCTCCAAATAACTCTTTCATACGTCATCTCAGTCATCACTCCCTTCTTGATCATGTCACCTTTCACGCAATCCATTCATCTCTTTCTATGTGTACCTCTACCGGTATACCACATTCATAACTAACATTCTCCTTGTTACATGCGATTCATCCCTTCTCATACCATGCTAACCTTTTACTCCTTACCTTCTCTACTACCGGGGCTACTCTCAAACTTCCTCTAATATACTCATTTCGTATCTTATATCGTGTTACCCCACACATTCATCTTAACATTCGCATTTCCACTACATGTATGCTCCTTTCATCCGTCCCTTTTACTGTCCAACATTCAGATCCATAACTCTGAGAGTTAATGAAAAATATTTGTTAGAATTAAACACTAAAAGTTTCCGCAATAGTAGGAAGTAAAATGAATTAATATTTCACATTTCAATTGAATTCGAGAACACATCATTTTAACTTGCTCGCAAAACATAAAACATACTTACTTGTAAGCCGGAGAACCGATTATAACTTTCCACACAATGATACCATGCTTGATATCTGAGGGCATCTGAAACAGTAATCAACAATTTATTTTATTTGTCTATGAAGAATTAAAAAAAATACAAAAGCGAGTATCCTATGTGTTCTTCCAGACTATCCTCTACATCTATACCAAATTTCATGGAAATCCATTCAGCAGTTTAGGCTACAAACTCTAACAAACATCTATCGAAATTTTCACATTTATAATACTAGCTTTTGCCCGCGACTCTGTCCTCGTGAAATTAGAAAAAACAAAAAGGAGTAGCCTATGTTCTTTTCCAGACTATACTCTGCATCTATGTCAAATTTCATCGAAATCCGTTCAGCCGTTTAGGCTACAATCTCTAACAAACATCCATCTATCGACCTAAACTTTCGCATTTATAGTATGATCAGATACGAAGATATTTAAGTGACTCAGAATCCATTATTAAATGTACCTCAGGGTTCCTCATCCGCAGCTCAATGAGTATGTTGGGTGTAAGGGAGAGCATGGTGATGCCCAGGTACCGCTTCGACACCGGCGGGGACTTGCTGCGGCCTACATACCACACCAATCATATACAAGAAAACTTAAAAAACCTAACTTAGGATAAGTCAAGTAACAAAATATTAACAGTACAAAGAAATAAGTCCAAATATCACCATACAATCTTGTACTTTAATTAAATAACCTTTTATAACTATATTTCTGCAGCGGAAATAAAAAAAAAAAACATAGCCTATGTTACTCTCAGATAAATTTTAACGGTGAAAGAATTTTAAAAATCCCAGTAGTTTTTGAGTTATTTCAATACATAACGAAATACAAATCTTTCCTCTTTTTAACATTAGTATAAACCAGTTGTTGCTCGCGACTACGTCCGTGTGATATAAAAAAAAAATGCATAGCCTATGTTTTTGATATCAGCCCAGTAGTTTTTAAGTTAATTCAATACAAACGAAAATACAAAAATAGAAATCTTTCTTAGCTGAATTTAAATTGTAACAGCTTATTAAATTACAAGGCCTTGCTTAAACTTCGAATTTCATTAAAGCTGTGTACAATATAACTGATATAATAAGTAAATATTCTTTTTGTCTTGCAAAAATGCCTTCGATATTTGTATATTTTTTAAATGCACAATCAGGAAATCCAATGGTGGACCTTACTAGCTATAGACTGTAGGTAAATAGTTAGTTCACTTTTCATTAGCGCCAATAGCCTAAATGTTTGATATACGAACTACCGATCTTGAGGTTGAGGGTTCGAATCCCGGCATTCGACTGTCGTGAACCATATCCTAGCACAAGTCTATAGCTTAGTTGGAATGGTTAAAGGAAATATTAGTAAATTAACAAAAATCTACTAATATTATCAAAAAAATAAGTGGGAAGTTAATCTCATTGTTGAATAAAGCAATTTTTCTGTAAGTGTAACACCGCGTATTTCCGCAACTGTACTTTAAAAATCATTTTTAGATTAAAATATACATACTTTTAGCTAGGAATTCCTTGACATAATCAATTGGTATAGCAAATGATATCCCGGACATCACTTTCATACTGTTCACTCCGATAGCCTCTCCGTCCAAGTTGACTAGCGGCCCTCCGCTGTTGCCAAATGTGATTGGTGCATCTGTCTGTATGTATACCATGTCTTTACCTGATTAGAACACAAATAGCAGATTAAATCTATAAAAACTATACTTTTCACAAAGTTTTTCTTTAACATTTACCAATTCTAAAACATTTTTTCTTTATAAATTTTTCTTATACAACAACTAGCTAGCTAGATTTCTCCCCTACCCTCTTTTTTACCCTAACTAAGGGGGTTTTAGTTAAGCTAAATATAATTAAACATACCTCTTAAACCGAGCTCCTCACTAGCTCTCTGCGCAGAACTCACTACCCCAGCTGTGACTGTGTTACTTAAAGCTAAAGGACTACCCATAGCCACTACCTGAAATATAAAAAGAATTTCAATTATGTAATATTATAAATGCCAAAGATTACATGAATGGATGATTGTTAGAGTTTGTAGCCCAAACAACTGAACAATGAAATTTGGCATAGACATTGAATAGTCAATAATCTGAAAGAATACATGGTCTACTCGCTTTTATTTTTTTTAATTCAACACTGACAGAGTTACAGATTATATTCATAAAGCAAATAGTAGGTTAAAAAGAAATAAAAGCTATATATTCACAAAAAAAAGTTAAGAATTAATAAAGTTTTAAGCTGGTCGTACCCATTCTCCTGGCCTAATATCTGCAGACGAGCCAAGCTTCATTGTGGGCAGGTTCTTGACTGGGATACGGAGTGTTGCTAAATCTGACTTCAAGTCTACGTCTTCAACTACACCCTTATGTGTGGAACCATCCTGAAATATAAAATATTGAGAAATAAATGAGTTAGAACATTAATATGGAGATAAAAATTAATAAATGGGTTGAATATTTAATATTAGGGAACCTACACCTAGAATATAAATTTTAATATTTTCTAATGCTAATATTTGCTCAGAGCAATGTTGGGGTTACCGCGGATCTGTAGCGCTTCAGCAATGTTTGCTGAAGCAAAACTAAATGATTTTTTTATTCATATCTTTTTTATTATTATTATTATTATATCTTGTATAATAATAAACATTCTTTATTGTATAATCATTCTGTACAGGATTATATCGCTGTGGCTTCTTAACTAGGAAATCCTGTGCTTAAGGAGCCAATGCCTTCTCTTTTAAGGTACATTTAACAACAGAAAGAAAAAACTAAAGTATCGAAGCCACATAAATTACAGAAAAAATTAAAGTTACTGTTAATTCGTGATTATAAATTAAACTTATAGAAATATGAATGTATAGATGATGCAATTAAGTTGAAACATAATCTTATCAAACCTAAGATTAATTTTATCACTAACAACATTGTGTTTTATTTTGTTGATCACCTCTATAATAAAAATTATCATATATTGACAGAAGAATTATGAAACAAAATATGAAATATAAATAATAATAAGGTAACTTACGAGTAATTTGACTTCTACTATCGCGTTAGGCTTATTGACAACAACATGAGCATTTGTTAATATCAACCCATCTTCCTTAACCACAAATCCTGATCCATTAGACAATGTTATTGGACTGCCTGTATACAAGTCCAGTCTTCTTCCATCTTTGATCTCTATATACACAACAGAAGGTGCAGAAACTGCTACAACGTCCGCTATAAAGTTATACTTCTCTCTTCTACCTTTTAAACTATCATTAACTATACTAGCAGCTGAAACTTTCTCCTTAACACTCACGTAACCTATAACACCGGCTGCAGCCAGTAAAATCCCATTAAAAATATAACTATTGTCTTTTTCACTTTTTCGTTGCTTAAAAGTAGAAATTGCACGGTATGAACATCTATAATTAATATTTAAAATTGGTTTTTTATTTAAAAATCTAAGAAGAGACCGAACCATTGACATTTTGAAAGTGACATTGATAAGATTGACATTGACAGTTAAAATTACGATTGACTCGGACAAAAAATGTTGCTACAAAATCATAAGAATTAGGAGAGAAATGTGTAACATTTAATAAATCCACCATAATCTAATAATCATATTAGATTCAATTAATAGCTCAGTAGTAGTAGTATTTTTATATAGTCAAAATGCTTTTAATAAAAACTCGCTTTGATTTTGCTTAATGATCCTCATTCTTGTAACATTATTTTACAGAACAGATGAAAAAAATGTAACGAAAAACAGAATAATGCTTGCATAACTGCTAAATAACTGTCGTTATTTTCTATTTCGATTGTTATTTTAAGTGAGGTGCCGATTAATATCATAACGTACCAAAAATGACAATTCTTCCTACGTTATGATACTAACGTTAAAAACGAACATTTGTAAAGAAATATTTAAATCTTCGCCTATAACATTTATCCGTATCAATAGAAAATAAAACAAAAAGTAAATGCCTGGATAATCGTATATTTCAATAATATGTAACAATAAAAACAAAGTGATTACATTGCTAAATTTTTACACGACATAAATGTCTCTAAGACCGAATTTCACGTTATTTGAATTTAACTGCTTAAACATTAACTTAAAACAAATAAATGACTATATTGAATATTGTTATATACTTTATTCCAAACATTTAGAATGTAAAACACTACATAATCTCGCGCTTATAAGTTTCTGAAGCTTCACAGCCAAGTGTTTACATAAAAAAAACGAGTAAAAAACGGTGTATAAAATATCAAGACATTATTCATAATTCCAAGTAAGTTTTAATTTTAAAAAATAACGAAAGCATATAACAATATTCCTTTTAAATAATATATTTAGGAACTATGTGTATAATAAAAAAATAATAACTAATTTATTGACTATACAATAATTTCTGTTTCATTATTTTTACAATAACACATTTATTATAACAAGATTTTTCTTTTTTTTATTTGTATGAATAGACATTAATTTAACTGATGTTTCTAATTAAAACAATGATTAAATGTTTAAGAACAGAAACGAAACCAGTGAAATTAATATCTATCTAGCTTTACAAGTTCCGTTTATTTTACTTTGGTATGAAAACATATAATTATTATTTCAGATCTGAATATGAATAATTAACCAAACGTTAAATATATTTAATTTTATCCACAAGATTTAAAAATAAAAAGCTACCAGCCATAATACTAATTCAATATATTGAATATAATTTCAAAACGTATTCAGATCTTTTTAAATAAATATAATTAAACGGTTATGCTATGATATACACTGGTATTGAAACTAATAAATACAGATAACTTTATAATGTAACATTAACTTGAAACTAGGAAAACTTAAAGTTGGAAAAAACACTAAAAAAGCAAGGCTGCACTTTATAAAATGTTCAAAAATACTTATTTATTGACTTTACAGGTAACACTATTTCTGATATGTAAATTTAATTATTGTTCACTAAATAATTAATAGAGCCAATAAGAGCGTCGGTGGCTCAGTGGTTTGAACACTTGACTTGTAATCTACAGGTCTTGGGTTTGAACCCCGCTGCACCAATGTGATTTTAGATTTTTCGAATTTTCATATGTACATAATTTACCCGACGTTCTTACGGTGAAGGAAAACATCGTGATGCTTGCACTTATCGGCGAAGAAATTCAAAGACATTTGTGAAGTCAACCCGCAGTACAGGTTGACTATGGCCTAGTCACCCCTTATTAGGGTAGGCTCCGAGCCCCTCGGTGGGGACGTATAGTGAGCTGGTGATGGTGATGTGATGATGAAATAATTAATAATGAATTATTAAAAAGGTATTTTTAATCATTCTTAACTTATTAACTTACATAATTCAAACCGATGTTTTAACGATCTTTGAGCAATCGAGACATTTTTAACTTTACATATACTAATGTGTTACAAATGGATGTAAAGCAAAACTTAATTTTGAAGTTTATTACATAACTTTGTTACTTAAGGTTTAAATGTTACTTTAATATGTTAACTATGAAATGTTACTATTCCCTGTAATGTAACATTAAACTGTTATTTTTTCAACAATTTAATTTTAACACGTTACTTTATTATGTAACATTGATGTTACTATTCCCTGTAACGTAACATTCGATTTTATTACGCAAACATTTACACATTACTTACATTTTAATTGTTACTTTATATTGTAACATTATAAAATGTAACATCACTTTACCTTGTAACATTAAAATTTGCGTTACAAAAACATTAGCTCCAGTTGCTCCAATCCTCACATCCGCAACCTTGATAACCGTTTTCGATGGTACCGTTAATTTTAACGTTACCGTTAACGTTACCGCTACCGTTAATATTAACGTTATTTTTTACGTTACCGTTAATATTACCGTTGACCTCAGAAGGTCTGTAAGTGTAGAAGACATCACAGAACGCAGAGTCATCTCTCGGCAGGTCATAGTCAACGTGTCTAGCAGCTAGCCAGGCCGCGCCCATCGCACTAGATACGCGCAACCGGACTAGTTCTAGCTCAGTTTTTACCTGGAAGATAAGTATTACATTTAAAAAGTCATATTTTAAGGAGACATACGAGCCAGCGGCCACCGGAAACGCTAAGTTAACGAAGTTGACTAAAGTGAATAGGCTAGTAATCTTTTGACGATATCACCGCTTAACATAAGCTGGAATTGTTGCTATGAGCTGGCTTATTGAACACTAGCTATTCCCGCGCGGTTTCATAGGCGGGAAATTGCAAAAACTTATTTTATTGTTTAGATTTGTCAAATACACAAATGACAACGAAGGCCTTTGACATTTACCATTACCATAATAACCTTGCTTCCTTAATGTTGGCAGCTTTTAGTTTATGGTCCCTTTTTCACATGAAGGTTTTTTTCCAATTTACCCCCTAAGTTGAATAGCGTAAAATATATAGCCTAAAGCATTTTGTAAGTGTAGGACTTTATATTAAAGAAAGAATTATTCAAAAATACGCTTTGATTGCTGACATCCTACGTCACAAAGCAGTGTGTTAAATTAGTATAGACATAGAAATAGATAAAAGGTGAATCTATACTTATATTATAAAGAGGAAAGATTTGTATTTTTGTATGTACTGAAATAACTCTAAAACTACTGGACCGATTTTAAAAATTCTTTCACTATTAGAAAGGTTATTTATCTGCGAGTAACATAGGCTATATTTTTTGTTATTTTTAAATTTCACGCGGGCGAAGTCGCGAGAAAAAGCTAGTTTGTTATATAATAACTTAGAAGGGTTTTTTTAAATTATTTTCTTTATTTCCTGCTGCTATGTTTTTTGCAGCAACCTTGTTATCTTTGGAATTTTTTTTTTCTAGTTCTTTACCTTGTTTTTTATATTATTTTATTTTCATTTTTTACTTTTTTTGTATCTTTTTTTTTGTTTGTTTTACATATACATATATAAACTTAGAAGGGTTAACAATGTTCACTAACCTTCCTATCGGCGAGTTGTGCGAGCAGGCCGGGCTTGAGCGCGTGCCAGCTGTGCCACACGGAGCCCACGCAGACGACGCGCAGGCGCAGCGCGGCGGGCGCGGGGGCGGGCGGGGCGGCGCGCGCGCACAGCGCCGCGATGTGCGCGCCGAGCGCCGCGCCGCCCAGCGACAGCAAGTGCGCGCATAACGCGTCCCCAGAGTACGCCAGCTGGGAGATCTTCGCTGTTAGACCTAGATGTACAAGTCTAGATTAGTTGAAAATGACGCTAAATGGTTTTATTTTCAATACACTAATAGACAAATTAGCAAAGAGATTATAGAATTTTTAGACGAGGCAACAATTTTTTTAAACCGGTACTTTGATAAAAGGTACTAAATTGTATTGACATCTAATGAAACATTTAATATATAAGAAGCTCCATCTTTTGTAATAAAACAAACAAAATGAAATGTAAACATTAAAATATAACATAATGACACCTATCGATTAGTTTTGAAAATTTATTAATAGAGGCGTTAAAGCGCGGACATCTTTAACTAAACTATCGCACAATTGTTTAGTCTCGCTTTGATTCCTATGACCTTATATGGATTGCGCACACTACTTGATTAGTCGTACAACTAAACAGTTGAATTGGCTGTGAAACTATCGACAATCCCACAACAGTTGTGCGATACTTTATTTAAAAGTGCACCCGCTCTTAGTGAAATTATGTTTCATGTAAACTGTTAACTACCTTACTAAATAAATGCGAAAGTTTAAATGGATGGATGGATGTTTGTTAGAGTTTGTAGCATAAACGGTTGAACCGATTTCGATGAAATTTATTTACTCACTTTTGTTTTTTTTTTAATTTCACACGCACGGAATCGCGTGCAAAAGCGTTACTCTATACATTTTTTAATATTTTGGAAATTAGTAATACAATATTAGTAGAATTTGAATGTTATGAGGTCAGTAATGTGTGTGCAATCGTAGTAATCTTACCAGCAAAGTGAGATTTGTCGAAGTGCTTATATGAATGGGGCAGCAGGTCGGCCCTTGTGTCGGCGTTGAAGTGCTCCCGGATGAGTTCCCATACGCGGTGTGTGGGGTGCGGCGCGAGACGCAGACCATCCACGTCGTCAAACACTGTCTTCACCGCACGGTGGGCTATCCAGTAAGCTAGAAATATATTATTATATTACTAGCTATTCCTAGTGACACATCACCAAGGATCGGGCGAAATAACTTGTCAAGAAGGTGGGTGCCAAGTGGTGGCCAAACCGCGCGTCGCAAACCGTATGACCCGCGGGTCGTTGGGGCCATGGGTGGTGTGTTATTCACTAGCTATTGCTCGCGACTTCTCTCATGTGCAATTAAATAATATAGCCTACTTTACTCACTGATAACCTAGCTTTTTTATGGTGAAAGAATTTCTGAAATCGGCCCAGTAGTTTTTGAGTTATTTTAATACATACAAAAATAAAAATTTAAATCTATCTAGAACATGTATATGTGATGGAAATATCGGATTCTGTTCCCTTCTCTGACAGTCATTTTAAACCTATCTGAGCTTCTATCAGCCAGTGGTGGGAAAGGCCCTAAATCTTAAAAAAACACTTAATTTTATAACAGTTTGATGGCAACATTATTTATATTAAAGTGTTGCCATTTATTACTCGTTCTCGAATTTATTGTTTCTACGTGACAAAGTTTTGTTTTTTACGAATTTACTACGGTATTAACTCATTGTAAGATATTATACAGAAAAGATATGTCACGTTTAATGTTGAAAGTTATTAAGTAACGACAGTTTATGGCCTACATAAAAACCTCTTTTAAGTTACTTACAATGTAACTGAAGTCAAAATCTTACTAATATTATAAATGCGAAAGTATAGATGGATGGATGTTTGTCAGAGTAGTCTAAACGGCTGAATGGATCTCGATGAAATTTGGTATAAATGTGGAGGATAGTCTGGAAGAACATATACACTTTTGTTATTTTCAATTCCACGCAGACGGAGTCACGGACGAAAGCTACTTAATCTATAAGCTTACCTCCTCCTTCATCACCTAACAGATACCCCCAGCCTCCACAGCCGTGCTGTTTGCCATCAGGGGTGCGTAGTAAAGCATTAGATCCGGTCCCTGTAATTAAAAAAAACCTTTAATTAAAATATATCAAATCATAAATGATTAATTTAAAAAAAAAACTTTTATAAAACTTTCAAATCCAATTGTCAAAATTCAAATACATAAATGACATTAAAGGCATTGGTTACCAATTACCGTAACTATGGCATGATTTCTTTGCTCCTATCAGGTTGTAGATTTTGTCCCTTTCCCGCATCACGGTTTTTATCCAAATTATTTACTCCCTTAGTCTAATAGCGTGAAAATACATAGCCTAAAGCGTGTCGCAAATGTAGGGATTTTTATTTAAAAAATGATTATTCCAAAATATGCCGTAATTACTGACATCCTACATAACAAAGATGTTTTTTTTTTTTTTTTTTTTAATTCTTT